TAGAACCCAGAAAGAGGAAGGAGTTCTTCTTGGAAAACGCACCTCTGCTACGTAGTCAGAGACATAGCCGTAAACAAGGGGTCTGAGAATTGATATGGAAAGGGCCACATGGCAGACACTGCTCAGACAAGGAACAAGGAACCTTTCCCACTTGACCAAAGACTTCGCATAAAGGAAGTAGTTGGGGGAGCCAAGAAGGTTGGGACTCAGAAGGAGCAGTATCCAAGTCATTCTGACAGCGAACTTCTGCTTCTGCTAAGTCCAAACAAAAGAAAAATGGGCTCCAACCACACATTCCTGAGGCATCACACAGAACCTTCCTAGACCAAGGGTCAGCAAGCCCTGGGCTAAGTAAGTGAGTGACGCCATAGAAGCTCTTTCTGAGAGGCTCCAGATGGACATCATCCATCTGTGATGTCTGTGACTCCCTCCTGACTGAAGCAAAGATGGAAAAATCTCTTCTGCTCCCTTCCTGGGTCCTAAGCCTCTTCGGCAAGACATGCCATTAACCCTGAAGTGGCTTCCAGGAAGGTACAGGAAAAGTAGAAGCCGTCACACACAGAATAAGAGAAGCTCTGGCAGCCTCATGGAAGGAAGTTTTGTTCCATTTTGAGGAAGAAGTTGATTTCTTTGAATGAGTCTGGGAAGCGCCCGCCTCTGCCTGGCATGCCTTCTCTAGGTCTTGCTGAGCTCTACGTGTTTAAGACGTAGGGACCGGCTTGAGGCGGTGAGCACACACAGCGCTGTGGGGCCACGCGGGGCCCTCCCTGTTTTCACCAGCTGCTTGGCAATTGTGTGCCACAGTCATTGTGCAGTCAAGCGTGAGAGTGCAGGCAATGGTGCCTGTTCATCTCAATCCTGAGACCCAAGCTCATTAATGAAAAAAACCTTTTTTTAAGTTTATTTATTTTGAGAGAGAGGGAGGAAGAGAGAGCAGAGGAGGAGCAGAGAGAGAAGCCCAAGCGGGGTCCATGCTCAGCGCAGAGCCTGATGAAGGGCTCTATTTCATGACCCTGAGATCATGGCCTGGGCCATAATCAAGGGTCGGACACTTAACCAACTAAGCCACTGATGTGCTCCTCTTTAAAAATGTTTTTATTTCATTTTTGTAAAGCAGGCTCAACAGCCAACATGGGGCTTGAACCCATGGCCCTGAGATCAAGTCAAATGTTCTACTGACTGAGCCAGCCAGCGACCCCTCTCTGAGAACCGAGTTCAAAGGCAATCAATGTCTTCCCAAAGAAGGCTGAGCGTAGGCACGTTTTTCCTAGAGGGCGGCAATTTCCCTGATGGCTCACTCTCCAAGAGTATATTTTGCTTTCTCAAGAAAACATCGACTTCATTATTTAGAAAAAGATTTGAAGTATGTGAGGACAGCTTTAAGAGCTGATATTCAAAATAGTTAACTAGCGTCATGTGGACACTGAGCAATCAGAATAGGTGCTGGCATCAGTGCCAGGTTCCTGGAGACCCCGGGCGTGCCAGCCTTAACTCCTTAGATGCTGGATCCTGAGAGATCGTGCCCAAGCTGGAGTGTGGGCGACTGGGAAGCAGGACGCTCTGGGAGCTGGGGGGGTGGGGGGTGGGTGACATCAACCACTGTGGAAACATTGCAATGTCTTAAACAACCAATCAGGCTGTGACTGTGCATTCCAGCCGTGGAAACATGACCATCCAGGACTTCATGGGCCAAAGGGGAAGAAAAGTCACCTTTGGCTGTGTTTCAGTTTGTATTGTTGGTAATCAAGGGCCTGACCTTGTGAGTTTTGGTCTGAAGAGCAGGAGTCCAGGATTAATAGTTCTTACGCACCTGTTTAAATTTCAAGTCATTCCTTTATTTTCCTATCTTTGCGAATCTTTTCTGTGTTTTAAGAGCACGCTTTGATGTCACTTTGATGACGTTTATTTATCTTCTTCAAACCTGCTACGACACTAGTACCTTTCGCCGCAAAACTGATTCACGCTCGATGTTCTATATTTAGCAACCATCTGAGAAGGATCTGAGTCTGCACTTAGCCCTAAATAGCTACAAATAAGGGAGAAGCAGCAGCACCCCTTCAAGAGCCTCTGTAGGAAGCGCTCTGCCAGGGGTGGTTATGGCGTCCAGGGACTTACAGGTGTGCAGACGAGCTGTAAGCGCACGGGAAACCCAGGTAGTAGCTGATTGAGGACTCCGAGTGGTTTACTATGAAGCAGTTTCCTCACTTTTTCCAGATGGGGTGTAAGGAAACATTTCAGCGTGTTTATCTGTGTGCCCAACCCTATTTAGCAAAAAATGATTGCTCTTTGCTTCTTGTTACCAGGCTCAGATGATACTATGGTAACCGGGCTGCATAAAAGGGAGGGGGTGGGGGGGGAATGCTGCTTAGCAACTTGAAGATTTTTAAAAGGCAAGTACTCATTTTAACAGCAACAGTTTCTCAAATGCCAGTTTTGAGGAGAGAAAAGAGAAGAACAGTAGAGCAGGCAAATGGAATGACGTAAGCTCATGGGAGTTTGGCTGGGACCCTGCTCCCTGATGGGGACACTGAGGCTCCCAGAGGGTGAGTGGCGCCCTCTGGGTTGGCTGGCTAGGCAGGGGCAAGGCTGGGACTGACATGCAGATCATCCTAATCCCAAATTCCACACCCTGTATCGCACCATGCTTAAAAAAAAAAAAAAAAAAGAATGAGAAAATCTGCGAGAGAGGAAAAAATTTAAACACCCCATGAAAGTGTCAACAAAGTGAAAAGAGTACGGACATCTGTTTTTCAGGTAGCAAGTCAATGGAAAGGAGAAAAATACATTTGAATGTATTTATTTAGGGCAAGAAATGGTGACAGGCAGGCAGTGCTGAATTCCGGCCTCCCCCGAAAGGACTGGAGGTGGCCTGTTCCTGGAGGAATTCCTAGACGTTGCAAAGACTCAACGCAGAGGGGCTGGAGGAGAGGGGAGGGCTGGGAAGGGGTGTAGAGGGAAGACGGAGGGCGAAAGGCTTGCTCTGATTTAGGAAAAAGACTGTCTGAATGGGAAACACAGGCCTCAACACAGATGACCACGTGGCCTCGACCAGGACTATAACCAAAGGTGGGGCCAGAGCACCCACGGCCTCCCTCACGGGCCCACGCTCTGCTTCCCTGCTCCCCCGCCAGCCCAGCCCTCCGTCCCCGTCCCCGGAGACCAAGTACTAGGTGACTTAAAAGCCAGGGTTCAGACGCGGAGTCGCTGTGAGGTTCGGCCTGATGCGCGCATGCCTGGGAGAGTATGTCAGGCGAACGAGCCTTCTCCCAGGCACACAGACCGGGAGTCCCTGAGTGAAGCCCTGTCCTCAGCTGTCTCAGTGCTGGAGACATGCCATTCAAGTCGGATCCAAGGCCTAAATTAGGCCCATCATAGTCCAAGGTGGCGGAAGTCCTGTCTCTTTTCCGGCGCCTGGAGGGCTCGCATGGATGACAACAAGCTGCGGGCCAGCAAGCTGCGGGCCGAGCTTCCTGCTCTTTGGTCACCCTGTCACTCGATCACTCCAGGAGCCCAGACGGAGGGCGACCCTGTCCCCCCCCCCCCCCCCCCCCCCCCCCCCCCCCCCCCCCCGCCTTCAGCTGCCCTGCAAGGGGAGCACACCCAGGCCCAGGGCTTCCAGGCCCTGGTGCGCGCCTCCCCAAGAGGCGTCTCCTTGCTTCCCCTGGTAATGACACAGCAGTGACAAGTGCAGCTTTGGGCTGCGGTGGTCACAACCACGTCATGGGCTGGCTCCTCTCCACCTTCTTTCCACTCGCTTCTAATTGTGTGGACGCAGTGTCAGCAAGAAACAGTACACAGACTGCTTCTTCCCGTTCTAGTTGAGCTCAAAGGGCTGTTAGGCTCCTAACGAACCAGACGCCACCAAACAGGAGTTCTAATGAGGCAAGAGTTTGAGGAGGGGCGCGGGGGGGAGGGTCGGCACCGTCCGTACTCAGGGCGCAGTGACATGAGAGGAGGGATCTTCTGGGTTCTAGTCTCCATTTTGCCCTTGGCTCTTCCACCACCTTCTCATCACCCCTGTCCCCAGGTGCACCCACATACTCTGGCCATAATGAATTTCTTTCTTTCTTTGATGTTTTTTTTTTTTTATCTTTGAGAGAGATAGAGTATGAGTGGGGGAGGGGCAGAGAGGGAGAGGGAGACCTAGAATCTGAAGCAGGCTCTGCACAGTCAGCCTAGAGCCCGACGCAGGGTTTGAACCCACAAACCGCTGGGATTATGACCTGAGCGAAGTCGGAGGCTTAACCCACTGAGCCACCCAGGCGCCCCACCGCTCCCACCACCCCCCATAGGCAAATTCTTGAAAGCTCCACGAATACGTCCACATGTTCATTCACCCTGCCCCCCAGTTCATGAGAGGGTCCCCTCACAAGAGAACGCACTCGGTCTCGGGCTACTGCAGCTGGGGTAGTCAGAACTGATGTGCCATTTTTTAAAAAGCACACATCGGGGTGCCTGCTGGCTTCCTTGGTTAAGTGCCTGACTCTTGATTTTGACTGCGGTCACAATCTCACGGTTGGTGAGTTCAAGCCTGGCCTCTGCCTGCTTGGGATTCTCTCTCCCTTCCTCTCTGTTTCTACCCACCCCCTCTCAAAACAATAAATAAATAAATAGCACAGCTTACTTTCAAAATCCTAATCTCAATGAATTAAGAAACAACCAGTGGTAGTTGTTTAGATAGCAGTCTGCCCCTTTTTATAGATAAGGACATGAGAGAAGTAGTTTAGCTGGACGTGTCCGGCTTACGCCACCTGGGTCCCTAGCAGGGAGCTGGTGAGGTTTGGGATAAGGTTCAAGTCCAAATCCCCTGCTCTTTGAGGACGTGCAAACCTCCTTCTCTTGCGGCTTACATTAATTACACCCAAACCTGCCTTTTAGAGCAAAGCAAAACAAATACCCCCTCTCTTTCCAATATCGGCCCTCCAGATATTTGAAGGCAGCTACTGGCTCCCCTCCCGAACGGCCCTTGCTTCTCACACTTGAAAGTGCACAAAACTCACCTGGGGGATTCGGATTCACTGGCTCTGGAAAGGGGCTGAGGATCCCCGTTGCTAACAAGCCTCACCTTCTCCCAAATCAGTTGCTCAGAGGAGGAACAAAAATGTGTATCATCTTCAAAGTCAAGAAAAAGAACTTGCTGTGTTCTTTACTGTTTGCTGCTTCCCTGCCTGCCTAAAAGTTCCGCACTTGCATGAACATTTAATAAATGTCTCCTGTGTTGGGCAGACACAGTAAAATAAAGTAGCTCCTCCTCCTTCCCTTTCTTTAGAAAGAACCTTTGTCTGTTGCCCGTTACTCAGCTTATCTGAAGAGCACAGTCGTCATCTCTAAATCGGCGGTGCCAGTGGCATTGAACCTTGGGGGCCCAGCATGATGCCTGAAACGCATGGGTAGGCGTCTAATAAATGTCATGACCACCCCACCACACAAAATCGAACCCAACTCGCGCACATATCAGTTGCCCTAGCACTGTGTCCTGCCTGAAACGACCGGAAAAACGCTTCCACTGAAGGGAGCCCGCGGCAGGGGCCGCCCCCGAGGCCTTTCTCGAAGGGGAACACAATGGCTCGCTGTTCGCCCGCGGGGCCGCGGGAGGCGCGCCGGGCGAGCTCTGCCGCCCTCTGCTGGACGGAACGCGCGCCCCGCGCCGGCGGGTCTGGTCACCTCGCGCCGGCTCCCGGGGGACCGCGTCCGGATCCAGCCGCTTATGCAACACCGGGCTGCAGCCAGAGCACGTCTGAGGAAAGGAAATCGCGGGCTTCATGGCGCGTCGGCGAAGACCGGTGATAAGAGAACAGGGGCGCGAGGAAACGGCGAGCCCACCCCCTCCGCCCCCCGCGTAGCAGGCGCCCCGAGCGACGGCCGCGAACGTCGCCTGCGGGACCCGGACCCCCGAAAACAAGCCGGGGGCTCCCTCCTGTGCCGTTGCAGTTGAGGAACCCGAGGCTGGGGGGGCTGGGCACATTACTGAGGGAAACTAACTGCGGAGGGCTCCCGCCAGGGTTTGAATTAGGGCCTTTCTGCCTGCAGAATGCCAACTCCCCACACCTAGCGGTGCCATTAATTAGCCATTAATTAGCCTGCGAGCTGTACCAAGTACCCGGTCGTGTTGGGTCTTGGTGCGCTTCATTTTCGGAATGAGGGGTTGGCTGAGGTAAACTCTGAGTTCCTTTCAGCTCTCACCTTCTGAATACAAGCCTTTGTTGCTTACTGGTCGCTCTTGGTGCACAGGAATGGGCTCTGGGGTCATCTCCTCCCCGGGGGGACCGTGCATTTCTCATCAAGCATAATTACTGGGAGACAGCTGGCCCCCCTACTCTGCAGCCCCAAGCTTGCCAGGGCCCCACCGCCAGAGTCTCCAGAACTTACCTGGCTTCTCCCCTCCTCCAAGTTACTGTCAGAGGCTCAGACTTGTGTTTTCTAATCAAGCCTCGGAGTTTTTCCAATGTGACCACTGGTGAAATGTAGCAAAGAGTTAGCCTTGTGTGTCCAAGAGGCCTCGTTTGTGTCGCAGAGAAAGGAACACTACAGACTAGACAGGCTCATCTAATCCCGTCAGAGGCCACGAGAAACATTGATAAACTCTCCAGGGAAAGTCCCCGGGGTCCTGCCCCAATGAGCTGATGGGACCACTTACCTTTTTCGTTTTGTAAAAATGGGTTTCTTGAGGTATGATCAACACACAAAAAGCTGTAGCTATTTAAGGTTTTCAACTTGAGGTGTTTGGAGGTTAAGCATCACAGTCAATGCCACAAACACAGCCTTCGCCTCCAAAAGTTTCCTCCTGCCTCATGTTTTGTTTTGTTTTGTTTTGTTGCCCTTCATTATTTGCTTCAGGCATTTTCTTTCAGCCTGCATCAATCTTTAGGAGTTTTAACTCGGTTCTTTAATGGTATGAAGGGGTGGACATTTCAGTCCAGTCTAGTTTGGATATTGATTTATGACATTCTTCCAGTTCATTGGAATCTTCAGGTCGTAAAATATTTTAAGGACCTCTTTCCCCACAGGGGGCCAGGAAGCATCTCTGCCTCTCAGACAGTTTGACAGAAAATTTCAAAATCCAAAAACATGAAAACAGGAAGGCACCCTAGAGATTATATGATCCCATTCTCTCATTTTATGGATGACAGTCTGAGCTATTTGTCCAAATAAAGAGAGTTCTCTAGAAACAATTTTTTTTTTAAGCAATAAAACAAAACCAAAACAAAACAATAAATGGGGATGCACTGAGCATCTTCTCCCAGGCTCTGGACGGTGCCTTTCATACACTGGCAGGAAGGCATTAGGAAAGCTTCGTCAACACAGAATCAGGGCAGCCACCAGAAAGTTCGGGTTCGGCCTGATTATTATATTCCAAGCTTTTAAGAAAGTTGAGTCTGGTGCCAAAAATATATCAATGTCTTTCCCGGAGCTCCCCCTCCCAACATGGCGCTGGGGGGCAATTCTGGTCTCATGAAAACACCATACCACACAGTATTTGAGGAGGCCCAAATGATGTTCACCCCTGAACTGATGATAAAATGCCGATCAAACACTGATCAAACCTCATCAGAGGCAGCCAAGTTGCAGTTGGAGACGGTCTCTGGCAGAGTTTCCAGACTGAGAGCACATGCCAAGCGTAATTGAATGTGAGTATGATAAACAGCGATGGACCCTCACTGACAGACTGCAGTGCTGTTAGAACAAGAATCCCAGCCGTCCTGGACTGGTGGGGAGATCCTGGGAGGTCCAGCTGCAACCCTCGAATTCTGTCATCCCAGCTTAGAGAAAACCCCTCCTCTTTTTCCCTTAAAAATGTGAACTGTTTCAATTTGGTCTTTTGTTTGTTGGTTGGGTAGGGTTTTGGGGGGGATTTTTCTTTGGGGGGGGTTTTGGTCCCATCCACTGTTTTCCCTATTAACATGGAACTTCTGTGGTTTGTGTTTTATTTCATCTTGTCGAGATCAGTAAACAAACTGCCCCCTTCCCCAGGGTGCTTGGAAGTGAGGGGGTGGGGTAGAGGGCTCCCGAAGTCCCATCAACCTGTAGGATGAACTTGGCCCATGTTCCGGGAGCATATTTATAACTCATGGTTTATATTTTTGGGAGGAGGGGAGGAGGAAGAGATGACATTGACATCTTATGAAGTAGCAAGTAAATCTGCATGGGTTTTAAAGATAAAGCACAAGATTTGAAGGAAATTCCTTCTTTGCAGCTGATTGCTTCCAGCTATCACCCCCCACCCTCCCCGCAACCCCCGGGGGCCCACATATGAAAAATACCAGATTTGACATTTGAGTCCATCCAACTTTTTGCCTTGAAAATATGATTACTACTGTTATACTTTTACCTGCACCACTGCTACTTAGTACTGTTACTATCACTCCAACGGTTACTTTCACTACTATGCCTAACATGCACTCCCTTTTTCCTCTTTTTTACAAGCTGGAGAAATCTCAGGGCTCCAGGGGGACAGGACTGCTGCTATGTTCTGCAGAGCCTGAAAAGATGGTGATTCCTTTAACCTCACACCTAAGGGCACATCTCACTAAGAATTAATAACGGCTAAAAAAAATAATAATACAGGCCAGTCCTCCAACACAGTGGCCATCAGCTCTTGCAAGCCTGTGCAAACCACCATTGATGTCTCACACCAACATTTGGGCGACACACTGGGTAAGTGATAAGGCTGCTCAGGGCCAGCAGTCTGGGCCAGAGTCCAGCTATCCTGGGCTGACTCACTCTGAACCGAAGGGACTGATGTCACACTTGTAACACATCTGTGGCACACCAGAGCAAGATCTGATTTAGCCTACTCATGACAGCAAACAATTTTAACAGTTTTCCAGTTAAGAAAACAGAAGACTTCTCTTTGGGCTGATTAGTCCCAGATGGGAAGGAGATTTGATTGAGAGAAGTTTGCATGTGACACTGATCACATGGAAATCTGTTGTTTTCTCCTCTGGGTTCTGAGATGCCACCTGCTGGTGTTTCCAAAGGATTTGAAGCTCAGTCTGCTCCTAACTAGAGAAGAACCTCATTCATTCATCCATCCATCCATCCATCCATCCATCCATCCATCCATTCATTCAACAAATGCTCATTGAATTCCTACCTTGAGCTATGTACTCTGCCAGGCACTGAGGACATTAAAAGAAATCACTGCAGACATGTTCCTTCCACCATGGGGCTTTCTATCTAGAGAGGGACACAGAGAAATGAGCTGACTTGAAGAGCACAACAGAGGAAACAGAGAGTGCTACATGGCACACAAGTACAGATTCAAAGCCTAACTTTGGGAATTGGGAAGTGTAAGGTCTAAGGGAAAAGCTAACAGAATTAGAAAAGTTAGCTGAGTGTGGTGCAGGGAAGGCTTCAGGAATCTAAACTGTCAGGTGACTCTGAAGGATAGATGCTTAGGAAGGCAGAGGAAGGGAATAAAGACTGGATTTCTGGCAAGGGCAGCAACTGGACTCTGCATTATCAATGATGTCCTGGCCCAGGCGAGCAGGACCATGCCCACATCAAGTCCATCCTCATTGTTCGAGGCTGCACAGGTGAGGCCCACCTCTTCACCACCACGTAATTTAATTTGGGATCTCCCAGAGACACCATCTCAGTCATTGGGCAAAGGAGGCTTTGTTTGAATACTGGTAGCTGGGTTCCCATCCATCACTTCCCTCCCAACTGAGCCTCTGGGTCTGCACCCAGGCTGCACCAAGGGGAGGAGAGGATGTCTGTCATCCAAGCTGGAAACACACCTCAGGAAAGGCAAAGCACATGGACAGGGCTACGTTGTTCCTTTTTTTTTGCTTTATGAAATTCATTCTTAGGTCTTTGTAATCTCAAAACACTTTTATCACAATGTGGAGAAGTCCTAAACATTCAATTGTCCCAAAGCTCTTAAAAATTTATCCAAGCATTATCTCCCAACACAGTTTTGGGGCCCAGATATTTTTAGGTAAATTCTTTCAAATCCTTACTGATACAATTCCTATTTTTCCATAGACTTCTCTTAAAGATAAGAAAATATAGAATACTACCTAATTCATTTTATGAAGCCAGAATAATCTATTAAAGACTCGGCACATCTGCCTCATTCTCCATCCTTCACTGCCTCCTCTCTCTGTCTCTCTCTCTCTCTCTCTCTCTCACACACACACACACAAATGTAACTATTGGCTTACATTAACTGTCACTCAAAAGCTCCTACAAAAGTCCCACAAAAGCTAGAAAAT